AAAAAAAAAAAACTTTTTATCTTAGTTACAGAGACATATTTAAAAGAAGAGAACCCTTTAATTAAAAATTGGCTTGTACACATATTGTACTGTGAAGGGTATCTGTGTTTAAAAGTCCCATGCCTTATGTCTGCCACAAAAAATGAACAAAGACTAACATAAGCTTAAGGGAATTTTATCTCTTTGAGTCAGATTGAATCTGCAGCTTTCTTAGGGAAACCATAGTTCCTGGAATTTCCCTGATTTCTCATGCGACATTTTGATTTATTTAAGATTGGAATGAACCCCAAGTCCCTAAGGTAACTGTCAGAATTGGCTCAACCTCTTTTGGTCCATTAAGAAAGTATTGTATTTCTTATTCTTGATATCAAGAGTTTGCTCCTATGTGGAACTAGATTATATAGAAGAGAGGTTATCTTGTCATCAAGAGTAATTTTGAGATATAATCTTTAATTTCAAAAAACCCCTCCTTTTGTATTGTATGTGCATTAGTTTTTATACTGCCTAGAGCTATGGGTAGAATGGAAATCAAACTTGTTACCAAATATGATAAGTGAATAACTGACATGAATATTAAGGAGAATAATGTCTTCTATGGGGGTAATTTGAAAAGTTTGTGGAAAATAGAATTCAAAGACAAGTTTATGTGTTACAAAACATTTTAGAAATCTTTGTATATCAGAGATCTTCATAATGCTCATGGAAAATATGTATTGTGAAAAAAACTATGGATTTAAAAAAATTCTTGCATGAAGAATTATATTTTAATTGTGTTTTCCAGGAGCTTAAGTACTTTGTATACTAACATAAGATGAAGGGACATTTGGAAGTGAAGCTGTGTTTTTTGTTCTTGTTTTCTTTTTTTTTTAACATTAATTTATTTATAATTCAGACAGAGAGAGAGATAGAGAAAGGGAGTGGTCTTCTATATGCTTGTTCACTCCCCAAATGGCTGCAAAGATCTGGGCTGGGCGAAGCCGAAGCTAGGAGCCAGTAGCTTCTTCCAGGTCTCCCACGTGGGTGCAGGGGCCCAAGGATTTGGGCCACATTCCATTGCTTTCCCTGGCTGTAGCAGAGAGCTTGATCAGAAATGGAATAGCCCAGATTCAAACCGGCACCCGTATGGGATGCTGGCATTGCAGGAAGCAGCTTTACCTGCTACGCCACAGTGCTGGCCCTTTCATGAGCTTTTAATTTGTTTATTGAGAGGCAGAGAGACAGACAGAGTGCGCAAGCTCCCATCTCCTGATTCATGCCCCAAATGCTCATGATACTTGAGGCTGAAGCCAGAAGCCCAGATTGAAGGTGGGAGCTGGGACTATGCCAGTCTCTCATGTAGGTGGCAAGAACGCAATTGCTCGAGCCATCACCTCTGCTTCCAGTGGCATGCTTTGGCAAGAAGCTGGAGTCAGGAGCTGGAGTCGTGAATCGAATGCAGGCATCCTGATAAAATCGGGGACTCTTAACTGCTAGACTAACTGCTTCTCCTTGAACTCATTGGCAACATCTTCTGTTTATGTCCAATAAATTATCTGAAGATCATTTATTTGAAAGGTGGAGTTAGAGCAAGAGAGTGTGAGTGCTTCCATCCACTGGTTCACTCCCCAGATGACCACATGGCCAGGGCTGGTCCAGGCTGAAGCCAGGGGCCAGGAACTCCTTCTTGGACTCCCTCATGGGTGGCAGGGACCCTAGTACATCGGACATCTTCCACTGGATTCTCAAGCATCTTATCAGGGAGCAGAGCCACAGGGGACTTGATCTAGTGCTTCAGTACAGATGCCAGTATTAGAGGTAGCATCCTGCCTAATCCACTGTGCCACAATACCAGCTCCATTAATAAATTATTTAAGTTATGTGGTTGAGGCCGGTGCTGCGGCTCACTAGGCTAATTTTCCGCCTTGCGGCGCCGGCACACCGGGTTCTAGTCCCGGTCGGGGCGCCGGATTCTGTCCCGGTTGCCCCTCTTCCGGGCCAGCTCTCTGCTGTGGCCCGAGAGTGCAGTGGAGGATGGCCCAAGTACTTGGGCCCTGCACCCCATGGGAGACCAGGAGAAGCACCTGGCTCCTGGCTTCGGATCTGCACAGCTCCGGCCGTGTCGACCATTTGGAGAGTGAACCAACGGAAGGAAGACTTTTCTCTCTGTCTCTCTCATTGTCTGTAACTCTACCTGTCAAATGAATAAATAAAAACCTTTAAAAAAAAAAGAAATGCTTATATTGTTGCATTTATTTTATCTCCTTGTTATTTATTTTGTCTATTGACAATAAACATAAATGGTATTTAAATTTTTTAGTTAGCCAGTACAATTAAGAGCTTTCTAGAACTTGGTTGTTCTTGAAAGTGCATCAGAGTGAAAAATTTCCCTTTCTTTAAAATCCTCAAAGTATTTGAAGTTTACAATTAAAAAAAAAAAGATAGCTGGTTATCTACATTGGGATGTTTACTATATAGAATGTGTTCAGATATTCATTTATTTTAGTTGCTTAAGGTGTAACAATTTTAAAATTCTACCAAGTTTGTTAAGATATTATAGATATTTTAATAGGGTTCTCAGCTCTTATGTAAGTTACTAACAGGATAGTTAAAATAATATCAGAATTATGTTTTTATATTGGCTTCTTATTTTATTACTATATAACTGTTGGAAGATGGAAATGTACTTATCAAAACTCCTAAGACTTCAGTAGTTGGTTGAAAATTGGTTTGTACTATTGTTTACATTTTAAAATTAGTAGTTTCAATAAGATTTTGGTTTCCTTCTCCTCTGAATTCTCTCCTATGAACGCAAACTTCAAAAAAGGAGGCACAGTCAGCAGAAAAAAAAGGTGGTCTGAGCACTTATGCGTTAAATATGCATGTTAATTAGGAAAAAAATTAGAAAAATATGAAAACAGATGTTACATAAATTATTTCAGTCCCAGGACAGCACTAACTTACATACTGACAATAATTTTTATATGTGCATGTGTATATCTATTTCTAGATTTCTCAATACTTATGCAATTCCTAAGAGAATAACTAGAAAAGGAACTGGTATATCCTTTCAGTGGAACTGTGGTAAACATTCTTTCTGCACATAGGTTGCTCAGGAAGGCTAGTTGTTCCATACAGCTTTGCTGCAGATATTATAGTGTTCTCCTGTCTTTCTTGGTTTCTTTGATGGTGTGCAGTTTGTTCTTTTATTGGGTAAATCTTGTCCCAACAAGAATGTTAATTATCTCAATAGTGTAAGAAATTTTAAATTGACCTAAAATTTAAATTGGTTTGAAAAATGTGCTTGGAAATGAAACAAGAATAAATAACTCAGGAAATTGATTGTGGTGCCACATTTTCTTTTGGTTTCTGTTTCACATTATGAATAGTAGTGACACAGTAGTATGGAAACATACATTAAATATTACTTAAATACGCGTACATTAAGTAATACGTGTAATTTTACTTAAATACATGTATATATGTTGGAGTAGTTGAAAGATGTTTGAATAACTTTCACCCTAAAAAGCCATCCATAGAATAAAATGGTCTTTATTTTTACAAAGGGGAAATGAGAACTAGAGATAAGCTTTGTTTTAGTGGTATTCAATTTTTAGTTCATTCATAGAAGAAAAACCGTGGGAACATAGTGCTGTCCAAGGTGTGGCTAACAGCATTTAGGTATTTCCAAATATGTAATATAATTTGGAAAGGTATTATTTAAAACTTTTCAGCAAAGATTGAAAGTTGAAATTAGGAAATGCTACTTCAGAATGAAATAAATCATTCTCATTATCCAACAAGCAAACAAGACACGAATTGTATTCAATAAAATGGATATACCAAGAAGGGCTTAAAAACAGTTCCCGGAAATTCTTTTACTAGGCGAGTGACTTTTGCTATTTAGTTTAAGTAGGAGATGATACTAAAATGTGTTTGAAGTAAAATTTTAATTGGATCTCTAAGTTTCAGTTAGATTTGTTGTTTTTCAGTTCTATATTATTGTTTTATATGTTTCATAATATTGCCTTACTGCTCCTAGCTTTTTGAACCAATAAGCATTTAACAGGTTATTGAATTTTATGAATTAATAGAGAAGGAAATCTAGAATAAAACATTCAAAAATTTATTGAGATTCTTTACTTAAATTGTATAACCTATCTAAGAAATTCAGTTATTTTTGCAGATTTTATAGAGAAATATAATGCAAATATGGTATGTGGAAGTGTATTACTGAAGGTGACAAGATTTTTTTCTCTCTTGTTTTTAAAAGATTTATTTATTTATTTGAAAAGCAGAGTTACAGAGAGGCAGAGGCAGAGAGAGAGGTGCAGGGGCCCAAGCATTTGGGCCATCCTCTGCTGCTTTCCCAGGCCAGAGCAGAGAGCTAAATCGGAAGTGGAGCATCTGGGACTCAAACTGGTGCCCATATGGGATGCCGGCATTGCAGGCGGTGGCTTTACAAACACTGTACCACTGCCTCTTTTCTTTATGTCTAGAGAAGACTATGGAAATATATTTTTAGCTCAGAAATGATATTTACTTGTCATCACTGATGTAACGGTATTCCAATTTTACATTTTATTAATGCTTTGGAATCCATTTTCAATGGAATTTTACTTCACATTTGTTTTCAAATGTCAAATTTCCATTTTTTTGTATTACATCATTTTGTGATACTATTCTGAGTTAGAATAGTGTGTTCATTATTTCAATACTTTTACGTCATTTTGGTGAAAAGCTAAATGAAATTTTAACAGATGATTTGGTTTATAGTGAGGGCCTTTGGTTTTCTATTTGTTTTTGCATTATAATGCCTCTTTGTTTTGGTGTTATAAAATGTCTTCCTTTCTTCCAACAATTAAAATAGATGTAAAGTGTGATTAATGAATGGGGCTTATGTTTTACCCCATGAGTCTAAATATTTTGATATAAGTTTTTTAAAGCTGGCTTTTGTGTTTGGTATGTTTTAGAGTTCTTTCTGGAATAGGGTAATTCAAAGCTATTTCATTTATTTTTTCCAGGATCTCAGATGAGAGACAATTCAGATGTCCCAGTTTTTTGACTCGTCTTCAATTCCCATTTGTCAACCACGTCTGGTCTTTGGAGTACTGTGTTGGCCTGAGCTGAAGTCATCCTTGACCCATAATAAGAACATGAATCTTCAGGTGTCAACTATATTTGTGGACCAGTGAATTTGTTTTGAAAGGTAAGCTTATCTTTTTTCAACGTATGCATTTTACAATCACATACTTTCCATACCCTCATATCATGGTAATATGAGTTTGTAGATTTTTTTTTTAACCAAAAAATGTATGCGTGTGTTTGTACACTTCTGCCAACTGTCTTCCCGTCAGGGAACGATGTTGCCTTTGCAGCACAGTCCGAGCTTCCTGACCTGTGCCTTACCACTTCCTGCATGCAGCCACAGTGTCTGCTCTTTCCTGTTTCCTGGTTGGTTCCCTTCTCGTTCAGCTGAGTCTGCAGTGGGGCTTACAAAGCCTTTTCCCAATAGCCGATGACTGGTGCTGTCCTTCGGTTCTACTTTTTGTTATCCCTAAAGCCTCTTGTTTTCTGTGTGTGTGTGTTTAATTTCCCTCTTAGCCTTCACTACATTTGTTTAAAAAAGTAAGAAATTAAAATGTTTAAACTTGAGTTGAAGGAATCTCGATCATTAGAATTCATCATGTTTTTTTTTCTACCACAACTTATAGTGAGAAATAGATCTTACATTTATGAGCTACTTTTTATATATTAATGAAATTAAAACAAAAGTTAAAATGATTCTTATCCTGAATACTTAGAATATGCTTTATTATATTCTTTATGTGTTTCATTTAATACATGCTGGTGTCCATATTGTTTATCTGTTCAACAGTATGTCATCTTTGTCCTTCTAAAAGCTTTTCTTTATTTAAAATCACGTCTATTTTTGTTCATGACTGACTGAGTTGTTGGCAGAGTAAAGGCAATCGAGGCAGTTTTCTTTCTGCCTCCAAGCTGCCTTTTCTCGTGTCTCCTCTGTGCATCCCTTTTCCCACCATGCACTGTAAGCTGTCAGATTACTTGGTCAAAAAATTGGGTAACTGCTGGAAAACTCTAGAGCCTTTGTTGTGTCTTCTGTAGTAAGAACACGTATACAGATAGTCAGATCTCAAAATCTGAAAGGAGAACATATCTTTGATGGAATCATACCTTTATTATAGAGTGTAAATTCTTTATTCTGTTCTTTATTTTTCTCCGTGTAAATTGCATGTGCATATTGATGCCCTCAAATCATCCTTACTTTGAAATATTTTCAAGTCTTGTATGTCCATTTAGAATAACCTAGATCTTTTTATAAATCAGTGTTTTCTAGTACCCATGCCCTTTCGATGTAGCATTTTTATCCTTTTAATAAATTATAGGATTTTTTTCTGATTATAAAAATATTTTGTTAGAAAATTTATCAAGTATGGTAAAATATAAAGAAAACAAAATTACCCATAATCATATCGTGTGGACACGAACCAATGTATCATTTAAAAAATAAAACCTTTTTATTTTTCCTTGAATTTACAAAGGAAAAAGAATTGAAATGAAGCTTAAATGATTTGTGAACCTCAGATAAATTTTTCCCTAAAAATCTTACAAGCTAGTTTTACAAGTTTTCCAAATTTAATTAACATTATAAAAGTCCATGGGAATCTGTATATGCTCTGGAAATTGAAAACTAGGAAAGGGTGAACTAAAAGCAGAACATTTTTAAGATAATTTATTGAGATGAAATTTATATTACATAAAATTAACCATTATGAAGTGAATGGTTCAACGGCATTACATGTACATTATTGTGCAACCTGTGAACTCTGTGAACTTCCAAACATTTCCATCACTCCAAGGCAAAGCACTGCACTCACTCTTCTCATGCCCCTGGGATTCTTCAGTCTGTATTCTGTCTTCATGGATTTATCTATTCTCTAGGCTTCATATGAATGTAATCAGATAATACATGACCTTTTGTGTTCAACTTTTTCACGTAGCACACGTTCAATTTTCATCCATTTATTTCATTCCTTTTCTTGGCTGAATAACATTTCATTGTATGTATATATGAAAATTTATTTATCTGTTCATCTTTTGCTTAACATTTAGTTCATTCCTACCTTTTGACTGTCATATATAGTACAGCTATGAACATGTGTGCACAGATACCTTTTAAGTTCATTTTAGTATATTCCTAAGTGTGGCCTTGTTGGTTAATATTCTAATTCTGTTTAACTTTTTGAGGAACCGCCAAACTGTTTTCCATTCCTTGTGTCAGCAATGTATGAGTGTTCTGGATTCTCCATATCTTGCCAATGGTTATTTTTGTTATTAGACTATCTTACGATAGTGTGATTGATCATGATTTTCAAAAAAATAATATTGTAATTAAATGATTATATATTTTTATGTACTTTGTTTCTTATATATACTTCACAATTCCCATTAATAATTATATATCAATCAGACTATTGTTTAGTTCTGTCTTTCCTCTAGAATTAATGGACCAGAGGACATTTTTTTCCCCACAGTTTCTCAATGTCTCTCTTTATTGTAATGTGAACCAGAGATTCCTTGTCCTTCTGCTGAAGTATCATCCTCAAATTTCTTTCCATAATATTTACTGGGTTAGTTCTGCTCTTTCTTGTATTCCATTGTCATACTTATTCTTAGATTCCTTTAAATAAAATTTTAGGAAAGTTAAATGGGAAATGAATTTTCTGAGTTGTACTTCTTCCGGGTCTTCCATGCAGGTGCAGGTGCCCAGGCACTTGGGCCATCTTGCCCTGCTTTCCCAGATCATTAGCAGAGAGCGAGATCAGAAGTGAAGCAGCTGAGGCTCAAATTGGCACCCATCTGGGATGGCAGCAGTGCAGGCTGCTTTACCGGCTGTGCCACAGCACTGGCCCCTGAAGACATCTCGTTCATTGTGAAGCTGTTGTAGGAGCTTCACATTGAAAACAAATAGACAAAACCCCCTAACCTGATTAATCAATCTTATGTTTCAGGGTAGAGAGGTAGACAGGTAGCAAGATAAATAATTAAAATATGTGGTAGATCAAGATCATGACTCTATGAAGGAAAATAAAGCAGGGAGTGAGATATGGTGTTCATGAGATAGGGAGAAGGATGGAAATTTTATGTGGCCATGGCAAGCATGAAGGTGAAGTCTGAGTAAAGACCTGTAGGATGTGGGGGAGGGGGCATCTCACGCCGAGGCCATAGGAAATGTTCAGACTCTGAAGCAGGAGCATGGTGATTGGACAACGTACAGCTACAGTGGAGTGAACGGAATGAGAAATTGAACTAGAGCGGTAATTAGGAATCCACATCTTCTAAGGGCTTGCGTTTCGTTTTTATTCTGAGTGACATGGGGATCCATTGGTGAGTATCATCCTCTGATTTATAATTTAAAAGATTATTGGTTGCCAGATTGAGAATAGTTTTTAAGGAAGCAAAGGCAGAAATAGAGAGGCCATATAGAAGATTAGTGGTAATAGAGTATTGTGATTTGATGGATTAGGTGTGAGTTATGAGAGAGATGCGTGAAGAATGACTCCAATGTTTCTGATCTGAATTACAGGAAAGAGTTTCATATAGGGAGCAAAGGCAAGATTATAAGAGGAGTGCATTTAGGTGAGAAGGTTAGGTGTTTTGTTTTTGAACTTCTTAAGTTGGAGGTGATTATTAGATATTCAGGTGTAGAGGTCACCTGGTCCAGAGTCCAGAGTTCAGGCACAATATGGGCAGGGGAAAGGTCTGGGATGAAAGAAAAGCGTGCAAGTTGTCCATTGTAGATGATGCTTAAAGGTGTGGTGTTGATGCAGTCTGGTAAATATGGCTGAAGGAGATTGACAGTCCTTTCCTCAGGGCACCTGAAGTAGGGGGGCTAGGAGAAGAGGAAGTAGTGGAGGAGACGAGAGGAGAAAAACCTAAGTTTTCCTCCTGCTTCCTTGTCTTTCAGAATATCTGCAAGTACTATAGGTGTTTCAAGGAAGGGATGAGCCTCATGAGAAAGTCAACTGATAGGTGAAGCTGGAGATGGACTGTGAATTGATTAATGTATCTAGCAGTGGGAGGTTATTGATGACCTTGAGAAGAGCAGCTGCACTATAAGACCCACGTCTGAGTGAAGCAGGTTCAAGGGAGAGTAGGAGGAGAAACACATGTGGCATCTTTAAGGGTGAGGGTGGAGTGTATACTCATGGGAATGCTTCAGTAAGGGGGAATCAATTGATGAGGCAAGAAAGAATGCAGAATTGTTTAGACACTGTGTGTCAGTGGAGGGATTGCCATAATTAGGTGCGTGGTTGTTTTATTCTCAATAATAGGAAGGAAGGCAGAGTTTAGGGGCTCAGAGCTATCATGTAAAAGCCTTCAGTTAAGCTCTGTACTAACACCAGGAAATGTGACATAGAAAAGTAGCATGACAGTTAGCTGCTTCTTACTTTTTACAGCTTTTCCTCTAATTCCCACTCCTGTAGTAGTTTTTGCTTTAGCCTTATAAATAAGTAGTGGTTTACAGTTTAGGAATTTTGTGGTTATAAATTTTTGTAAATGAAATAAAGACCAATAGCACAGACATTTAAATAATACATTTCTTGATGGTTTTGAAAACCTCAGGTGGTTCAATATTGCTATAAAATGTTGTAGAGAAGCACCAGAATGCCTTAAGATCAGAAGGAGGGCCTTCAAGTATTTTCTTCACCAGTCTCAGGGAAGTGATAGTTTTGTTTCACTTATCCTGATAATTGGTATAGTACTTCATGTCTTGGATTACTTGAACAAAGAGTTAAATCGTGATTGTAAAAATCTATAGTTGCCTAGAGTTGATCATATTCATTATGATTCCTGCTTGATACAATAAAGGCATTAGAACTCCGGCATTTCTTTGTGGTAAAATGCAGAGTCTGAGATCTCTGATTCTGAGCTCCATAGTGTTACCACCCCACCCCCCACCTCCCCATTCTTGTTGAAGCTCCCTGCTGTCTGCAGTGCTGGAGCACACTTCTGGCTGTAAACGATGCTCGCAGTGTCCTGCAAAATGATGATTGTTGCTTATTCACTGCGCTTTAATACAGTCATGCTTAAATTAGGAAGGGCAGTAGGGAGGATGAAAGCTGGAAACCGAGCACTCTTGTATTTGCTGTTTCCCACAGCCTCTCCAGCAGCTCACCTCTTGGG